TCGAACCCTTGCAAATGTGAGTGGTCTAAATAGATACCACTTAGGTGGGAAGGTAACAGTGTTCCGTGTGCCTCAGTGTATTGTCATGCTGGCCACATAACTACAGAAATGTCTTCGAACAAATGCGGGCTCCCTCGGCTAAGAAACAGAGATGAGATTTCCCCCTAGAGCCAGATATAACTGGATAGGGGAAACCTTTGCCTCTTTAATGATTGGAAATTCTGCCATTTGTCTGGAGGAAAGAATAACTGAGAGGGATGGAGAAGGTGTGCTTCCATCTTACCCTGATTGTGAAGATGGAATGATGTTTCAGTTGTTGAACTGAGTAAATAAATGGCCCAGCATCTTAACCATCTCATCCTATCTACCAATCTTCCCCTGCATTTCCATCCCTTTATTTCATCTTGGCATTGGATGTAAATATGTTTTTGAAAAGATTGCCGCTAGTGTGTGCTTGTACTTTTTTGACAGCTATCTACCAACCTTTCTGTGTGAAAGTGCATTCTTGGGATTCTGTCCTGCTAATTAGAGTTAGCCTGTAATTGTTAGCATGTTTATTTTCTGTATTGCTCTTTAAAAAAGAACTTTAGCTTTTTGATCAATACAACAATAAGGGTCAGTACCTGATTTGTTCATTTTCTGTGCCCCCATTATATTAAGATGTTATCTTTGTCCCTTTGTTAGATGTGCCAATACCTTTTGTGAAATCCACAGGAACAGCTCACCCACTAAACTCTGCACCAGGCAAACCTTTAGTCTGATTCCTCCATACAACAAGGAAGGTAGAGATGGTTTTCAGCAAAAACTATGTTAAGCCAGGCAGAAGATATCTTTTTTTGAACCAACTTGGAATTTTGAGAACATGCCATGAGCATGGCAAAATTCTGTCATAGCAGTCATGTCCATTCAAAAGTGATCCACCAAGAGGGGCAAACTGTTAGTCTGGTTTTGATTATACTCAGTCTAATTTATTGGTTTTGTTGCTTCTGCAAGCTCACAAAGTACTGAGCTGCAGCTGTGCCCATTTTTTTAAATTTCCTAAGAATGTTTGGGTATGAATGAAAAAAGGGGTAGAAATGTTTTGAAATGATTACTTTCATGAGGAAAGACAGTGTTGCATTGGTGCTTTACAGTGTATAAGCTTTTCCTCCTAATATAGCCAAATAAAGAGAGATAGTACTCTGCATACTTACCCCTAATTAAGCTCTTTGGAAATTGTAACTGATAGCCAAATCCACCAATTTTTTAAGGCCATTTACAAAATCATATTACTGCCTGAAGTCTGCAGGGTTTTCTGGAAACTGCAGGATAATGTTACTTTTTCTAATTCTACTAGAAGAAAGTCATTTAGTGTAGCAATTAAAGGCACAAACTAGGACTGGGGTTCTTCACCTTCCTGAGGGATGAAAGCCAGCTGTGTGTGTTTGGGTGGGAGTTTCTCTCAATCCTAGAACCATAGTGTTGGCAAGCCCTTTTAGAAATGTTGCCAAGTGACAGCATGGACTTGTCCACATAGTCAACCAGGAATCAAGTGCTCAAAGAACCATAACCACTGGTATCTGCAAACTATATAGCATCTTTTATAATACAGTATTTTAATTTTTGACTATCTTTCCTTGACCACCTGTGAGTTTTTCTCAGCACTGTAAAGGGTTTCAAGTGATAAAACACTTGCATTTTTTTGAGATATTGTTGGAGTATAGTCTCCATTATCACCTGCTAGGACTTTAAATACAATAATGTATTTAAAGGAGGAGAGAAAGAGGAGGGAAGTAGGGAAGGATTAGAGAGGGTGGATGCAGCCTGGGGGGAATGGGCAGGCGTTACCAATGGTTAGGAATTTAATTGTAGTTTGTATGAATAAATGAAAAATAAAAACTTTTTTAATAAAAAAATAATGTATTTACTGCATAACTCATTGATTTATGTTGTATCAGTTATAAAGTTTAATAGTTTGATATTTTGAGTGGACATACACTATTTATAGCATTTCTTCAGGTTTGTAACAGGAATGTTTTTTGACTGTTATTAATAAGGTCTCTGGTCAAAATGCAGCAGTGGTTTTTTACTCATTAACAAAGCAGGGTATATTGTCATTGTGTAATCTTTGTATTTGTTCAGCAAGAAAAACAGCTTTTCCTTATGTACATTGGAGTGGTGAGAGATCAGTCTGACTTTTTGCACAGTTTTACCTTACTTTTACAGGGCAAAAAGTAGAAAGAGCAAACAATGGAAAAATAGAATATATATATTTCATGAGGTGCCAAGTGCAAAATCTTAGTAGGTAATAATAATTGATACACACACACACACACACACACACACACACACACACACATTTATATATATATATGTGTGTGTGTGTGTGTATACATACATACACACACTCACACACACACACACACACACACACACACACACACACTAACCAATAAGCCATATCACCCTTGCAACAACATTCAGACTAGTCACTTGATAAGCTCTGTATCACTCGGAAGTCCCCTGGTGTGTTGACAGAATCATTTCTTCAGATCCTTGCAAAAGACTGTTGAGGTGAGGGCAATCTTATTTCTGCAGGGATGATGTTCTATAAGGAGGGAGCTGCTACAGAGAAGGCCCTTCTTTTTGGTCCCATTATATTGAAGATAGGGGACCCACAACATTCCCTGCTTCCCTGCTGTGGTGGGTCAGGTAGATATGACTGGGAAAAGATAGTCCTTTAGATAACCTGGTCCCAAGTCATCTAGAGTCTTGAAAGTGACAATCAGCACCTTGAATTGGGCCCAGAAGCAAATCAGCAGCTAATGCAGTTTCTGTAGGACATATGTGCAAATATAGGCATGCATAAAACCATTTAGGCTACCACATTTTGAACCAATTGAAGCTGATCCTGGACACTTTTCAAGGGCAGCCCATCTAGAACGCATTGCAATAGTCAAGATGAGAGGTGGCTTGGGCATGGGTAACTGAGCAGGGATTGTTAGTCTAGGAAAGGCCTTCAGTTGCATAAAAGTGGTCCTGGCCATGACTGCTACTAGTCCTTGAGCAGTAGGGGTCCAGGAGAATCTCTAGATTACTCACCAGGTCTGTCTCTGGCAGTGGAACCCTGTCCAAGATCAGAGATGGCAACTCTCCTTGGACAAAAGATCCCCAAACCTGAAGCTATTCTGTCGTGCCAAATTCAGTTTCACCCCATTGCTCCCCATCCAGCCATTAACAGCATCCAGGCACTGCAAAACGGAGATTGACTTAACTTGCCATGGGCTGAGATACATAGTTGGGTGTCATGAGCATATTGAAGATTTTTTCTCCTTTTTGTGTTGGAGTAAAGTCAACAAATTAGAAACAATAAAAATCATAATTTACACCTAAAGTCTTTATTGAGCTCAGTTGGGAAGTACAACTTCAGAGAGCTAATATAAGCACTTTAAGTTCACCTGGACTCAGTATGATGTCAGAGTAGAAAAGACAGTAGTGTCAAGAGATATATTAAGCAAATCCAGCCAGTGTTAGAAGAGGAGGCATACATAAAGCATACAACATCATTACTATTAGTTTCTGAAATATAAAAGCAAGGGAGCCAAGATGTTTTGAAGATACCGTTCCTTTACTGAAGAAGCTCTTGACCTAATAATATTTCTGAGGCATAGCATTCAGATAATCAAGACAAAATCAAATCTACTTGAAATCTTGTAATTTATTATAGGGAATATAATATTAGAATGATGTGTGGAGGAATATGAACTAATTCAGTGTGGTGGATAAAGGTGCTAGGCTAAGAATGGGTAAACCCAAGTTCTGACTCTCATGTAGAAAACCAGCTGGATGATTTTGGTCAGTCATTCACTCTCAGCTCTAGGCTGAAGGCAAAGGCAAATCACTTCAGAAATCTTCCATATCATGGTGAGCATGAGGTCTAGCTAAATATCCCTGAAAAAACCTTGTAAATCCACATTCAGTGACAATGTTCCTATTATGATGCATAATCTATTGGTTTTCCAGTATAGTTGAGAACCTGCAGTTGGAGGTTTTTTTTGCCACATTTGCCACTCTTGACTTCTGAATGTTGTCACCTTTCCCCCTCCCTACATTTCTACTATTCTAGCTTCCTTCAGTTGCTCTTCATCCCAGTCCAGCCCTTTTTCCTCTTCTGACTCAGATCAGTCTACCTGCACATCAAAAAATTCAAACCAATTCAAATCTGAAAAAAAGCCTGGTAAATTTCTATTTGATTCTGAAATTTTGGGAACAATGGGAACCAGGCTTAGAGGATCAGGAAATGTTAGATGAAGTGATACATTTCTGTGAAAATGGGTCCTTAATATCATTATGAGAAGCCTTCTTGACAATCAACTAGATCCTTCATCTTTTTCTGCATCTGCTGTAATTGTCACTGCATATGGTTACTCTCAATTCAGTCGTGTGCATATTCCTTCTTATAATGAGTATGGTTTATTTAAAAAAAAGTTTGTGTAGAATTCCAAGTTTATGCGGCAGAATAGGCTCATGTGGCTATTGGCTGGATGGGAAGCATGCCCAAGGCCTACAAGCTGCAGCAGGTTTACATGCACCAATAGCTTCTGCAGCCATCTGACTCTCCCCTCTGTGGCTGAGTGGAAAGCAGGCCAAAAGTCTCTAGGAACCTAGTGTGTGAGCAAGCACAAGGTCTGCAGCTTAACAAACATCATGACTTGCAGCATTGAAGTCATGGTAATGACTCCATTATTGTCATAACTTGAGGACCGCCTGTATTGTAACATCGAAGGACCACTTGTACTGTAACACTCCTTAAGAAGGAGATACCCAGTGTTTCTGAAGAACCTGTTTGGGTTGTTTTGATTTCAGTTTGCTGCTAACTATTGTATCTTGCTATAGCCTTTTTGGAAGAGTAGCTCTTTGTCTCTTGTTCTCCCTCTTAAAGACTAAAATAACAGATGAAGTACTAACACATGTCCTCTTTTGGTTGTCTCTGCAATAACTGTACACTATTTTTTTCCTAGACTTAAAAGACATCTCTAAACCTGCTTCCACCATCAGTGATCTCTCTGCAAGTGACTCTCAGCATCAAAATGTACCTGCTTCAATTGCTCTAGTTCCTCCTGAAATAAATAAGTTGTCTCACACAAAGCAGCCTGGTCCAGCTACCATGACATCAAACTTCCCTTCATTCCAGGAGCCCCACAATGCTTTATCAGTCAAAGTCAAGAGTTCCTCTCGTTTTCCTTCTATTGTTTTGTCACAGCAGCCATACCAGCTCAGTGCAAACTCACACACTGAAGACCTTCCCAGCCATTCAAATGTGATGACATTCCAAACCTCAGCTGTTCAGGATAAATTGAAGCAACAAGTGGCCCAGATTCTAGCCATGTATCCAGAGGGCATGTCTCTGTTCCAGTTCCGTATTGCCTATAGTGCTACTTTTAAACAACATTTCCCAGTGGGCAATGCTGCTTCTACCAAGCAACGTCTTCTCGAGATGCCGGACACTGTTTATATGAGGGGTCATGGAGTTCAGGCATTACTGTTGCCCGTGTCCCCTGATGTATCACCTGCAAAGCCAGGTATGTGCTATTGTGGAATTTCCTTCATTTCCTAATGTGACATTTCTTCTGCATTGTGTTTTTGAAACAGGAAAATAACTTGACTGCCCCAGATTCTCTTCCCACACTTTCCACAAACCACATGACCAAATTAAAACAAAATTAGAACTTTTATTCACACTGCAGACATATGAAAATGCTTCATAAGCATGAATACTTCATATTCATCAGGCACAAGGATCTTAAGCATGTAGGATAAAGAAGAATTAAATAAGGTTGTTCTGTGGGGTAATTTTAGACTGAAACCGGTACCACCATCATTTCAGGGAAAGAAGTATCCCTAATCTTGTATAAAAAAAGAGAGCTAGGGACAAGAATTTGGGAGAATAGGGATTGGTGGGTTAGGGGGTGGAATACAAGAACACAGACATGTTCTATATTTTGATGCTTGGATTTAGGGAAAATGTAAGGAAAATGTAAGATTGTGTAGAACTTTCTCCCTCTCATTCAAATGGTTATTTAATTGTTTTTTAAGCCAAAATCAGTACATGGTAATTGAGCCCTCAGAACTCCTATAACTAGCAATTTCCTGACATTGTGCAATGGAAACATGTAAAACTATTTTTCAAATCCCAAAATAGACATATGACTTAAAAAAAAGTCGCTAAAGGTTTCCTCCACCCAGCCCACACATCTATACAAGTGATGCAATCTTATCTTAATATGTTGGGTTTTATTATCTTAATATGTTAGGTTTTGTTATAGATAAGATGAAGGCCAATAAAGAGCCAACAAAAGAAATGCAAAGTTGATATGTGAGCATACTTATTAAATGCTCAGAGATCTGGCAAAATTCCCTTGGAACAGTTTTATCACAAGTTAAGCTTTCTTTTATAGCCTCTTTCCCAAGTGATTATGAGCCCTGAAATTATTGTCCAAGATCCTGTAAGGTGCTCTGCTCTCTGGCCTTCAATGGTACCCACTACTTTTATCTACGAACCTTTCAGATAAATTTATGTTTTGTTTCTCCCCAGGTCAACCTGCCTCTTCCAAAGTGGAGAATGTTGCAGTGGTCCCTAGCCATGCATTGGTCCATCCTGTAACTCTGACTAAACCTGCTGTAAAAATCTTTGAATCTTGCCTGGAGCCTGCTGTTCCCAAGGTTGCCATTATGCCTGTACCTAAACCCCATAATTCCTTCTTGCAATATTATGAATCCATAAGAGCACCAGAAAATAATGGGAATAAACCATTCACTGAATTTCATCCCCAAAGCGTCCCAGGTTTTATTAAAATCGTGCAAACAAACACATCTCCTTTGAATGGTCCCAGTCCCAAGCTAAGAGAGATCTCCTTCATCCCACATTTCTGTGCAGCTTTACCTACATGTTCTCAAGGCACAGTATGTGGTGATAATTTGCCGCCAGGTATTCTTAAATCCAGATTTGCATCTCCCACTAACTCAAAGATTTCTGACACTCTCCCATCAGTTGACTTGACACCAGTTCCCCCAGTTTCTGTAAAACCTGAAATTTACTCTCCAAGGAGTACATCACAGAGCTCTGTTGGTATTCGGCCTAGCCTTCTTGTGCAACCACCATTTCCCATCTTGAGTACCGAACAAAGGAATAGTAATCATGCTATTGCAGAATTTGATTCCTTTTCTGAAGTGCAGAAACAGTCCAGAACTTTGCAGCACTTCTCAAGTCCTGACTCTTCTGCAAAGAGAAATTCTGTTTCTCCATTGTTTAGAAATTCTGCAAGCTTCTTTCCACCCAGATCCCAACCAGACCACCAATTACAACAGCCTACCCATGCAAGACTAGATGGTCTACAACCCAGTTCTGTTTCTTTAGCAGATAAAGGCCTCCTAAAAACCTCTTTGGACAGAGTATCTCCTGTAGCCATGTATCAGAGAGAACCCACTTACGTGAATCCTCTTGAAACCAGCTCAACTTCAGAATCATTCAGTACCTGTTCAGTCAGTGGACCTCTTCGGCCTTTGCACACTTCATCTGTGATTGCCAATAATTCCATGGCTTTGTCATCTGTGTCCTCCTCAGGGACAGAAGCAGTAAGTCCAGCTTCTTCTCCAATAGACTCTATTGCCAGTGCTTCTGCTAATATCACCAGTAATTCCAGTCCTTTGTTTCCTGAGACTCCTACTTCCACTCAGCAGAGACAGTATGCCAGCGCAGCTGCTACTGTTATCTCAAACAAAAAAACAACAAGCCCTACTTCTTTGTCATCAGAATCCACCACCAGTTCACACTACCAGTTTGCATATGCTTCCAGCAGGATGACCACTAGTTCCAGTGCCCTATCTTCTGAGACTTATGCTTTCACACATCAGAGACAGAATGCACAGGCAGGTGGGACTATAATTGCCTCAAGTACAAAAACAGTGAGTTCCATTTCTTCTCTAGATTCTTCCACCAGCTTATCTTGCCACCATATCTATGCTTCTGCCAAGCCCTCCAGTAGGTCTAGTGTGTTGTCACCTGAAGCTTGTGCTTTTTCATATCAGAAACAACAAAGTGCAACTGGTGCTGCAGGCTCTTCAGGGACAAGATCAAGAAGCAAAACACCTTCCCCTTCAAAGTCCACTGCATATCATACTCCAAATGTTGCTTCCAGAACTACTTTAAATCATGATCCTTCGAGTCAGGATAATGTCACATCCTCATTTTCTAAACAGGGGAACCATTATATGTCTTTGCAAGAAAAGCAGATGCCTGAGCCCACTTTTACTTCTGCTGTCTCCCGAATCTATGATGCATGTCTCATCCTATAAAGCTAGCCTTAAAATGGTCCATATGAAGACATTTGCCTATGGATACTTTTTTTTCAGGGAGAGATGCCTCTTGAAAGTGCTGCCTAAGTGCATTCAGAGACCATCCTTGTCTAAGCCAACAAGTGACTAACTATCAAATTCAGAGAATTCTCTCTTTAGAATATTGAAAATGAATTGATGCAGCCATAAAAAGAACTGTCATTAAGATTGCACACAGTGAGATAGCTACCTCAAATGGCACATAACGGAGTTAGAGTACAGTAGAGGAAAGAATGATGGGTGCTCTTATAGCTATTACAGTGCCCTCTAGCTGATTATCTGGCTTTTTATGTGATGGAAAACTCCATCAACAGCATTGAACCAATGTCAGCTGATTTAACTCATTTTCTGAATGAGCAGAAGCTGTGATTTCTCCCCCCCCCTTAGGTGGGTGTACACCAGGGTTCTTCACGGCAAACTTAGCCCTTTTATGACTGGTGGACTTCAACTCCCAGAATTCCTCAGCCAGATACACTGGCTGAGGAATTCTGGGAGTTGAAGTCCACAAGTCATAAAAGGGCCAGGTTTGAAGATCCCTGGTGTACGCCCTGGGTTGTCTTGCCCAGAAATATCACTGTGAGATCTTTCTTTTAGTTCTACTAACTAGAGCTCTTTTTTTTGGTGGTGGAGGGCGAGGCAGGGTAAAATTGTAATTGTCCAGGGTGGTCAGATTCTATGCTGGAAGCAGCTTGGTTTGCTATTGTGCAAGCTGTAATTGTGTATAATTACTTTATATTGTTCTTTTCTGAAATCATGGGCACAAACTGATTCCTGAACCTTTGGCCTTCTCTCTCAATCTTCTGAAATGTTTGTATGCAACACATTTGAAACAATTCTGAAGCAATTTGTTTCAATAATTTGCAAGATGTTGAATGTATTGCTCTCTGAATCCTGTAATACCTGGGAGCAGAATGGTTGAAGATTGTTCTTTCTGTATTTTTCTATGGGAATTCTGCTGAATCATCTTCACATGAGTTGTGATTTGGCAAAAATAGAAACCTGGATTGTTCTGATTCTGAGTTGTGACCAAAACAAATATGAAGACATGCTGGAATGATTTTAAGAACGAATGCAGCTAGGTTGGAATGTGTTGCTTTTTGCCCTCCTGCTTCTCCACACAGGGTGGGTATTTGCCTGCTCACTTCCTATTTTCCCAGCACTCTTCCCTTTTACTCCTTCAGCTGTGACTGATGTCCCAGTGCTGCATATGCCACTGGCTGACCTGTCCTTCAATCTTCCCAGCACCTTCTCCTTAGCTACCTCCTACCCTTTTCCTCATAGTCTTCTCTTTCCTTCTTTTCTCGATAAACCTTTTTTCTAAACCTGCTTCTGGCTTATTACCAACCATTTCTATTTGCAACTACCTTCCCCTCCCCATGTCTATAGAGAAAGAAGTTAACCTCTTAAAGGTAGTTATATTGAAGGATAAAAATTTAGGAGAATATATTCAAGCAACAATAATTTAAGGGATGTGCAAATTGTTTTGCAGACAAATATTCCATCTCCAACTTAATTGCTGTTTAGAAAATTAATACTTTATGTAATACTTTTGTTCATTGTATGTGGATCTTTTGACTTATATTTTTGTGTCAAATAAAATAAAATGTTTAGCAGAGAATAAGTTTGTTTGACATGTTTTAATTGTCACGGTTGTTTTATGTAAATGGGTGTGGGCAAAAATCTGTAGGAATTGCTTAAGAAGTTAAGAATTTTATTAGTATTTTTTTTAAAAAAAGATTTTATTGAGTTTTATAGAGTTGGGGATAAGATAGGATTGATGGGGATTAAGGTTTAGGGTAGGGTTAGGATCAGGATTGGGATTAGGACAGGGTTGGGATCAACATTGGGGTTATCCCCCAATAATATTTTCAATCTTTAGCAAACAGACTATTGTCCGGGAACATATGTTCAATTAACAATAATTGATATAGTGGTAAATAGCTGTAGTAAATATGATAAATGATAATCATAAACAGTATCAGTTGGTCAATGCCTATCATCTTACTAATATGTATTCAAAATAACATCACATTCATTTCTCACTAGTTTGTTTGCCTAACCATTGGTAAAAATTATCCCATGTTTTAAAGTAAACTGAATCTTCTTTCTCTTTAATCTCTAAAACAAATCTATCCATTTCTGTACATTCTAAAATTTTCTTAATTAAAACCTCTTCAGTTGGTAAGTTTTTATTTTTCCAGTATTGGGCAAATACTATTCTCGCTGCTGTCAGTACATGCAATATTAAATATTCATTCTCCTTCTCATAGTTAGGTTCTAATATTCCTAACAAAAACAGTTCTGGTTTAAATTCTATCTGTCTTTTGATCATCTTTTCCAGCAATGTATGTATTTTAACTCAAAACCTTTTTGCTTTAGGGCATATCCACCAGATATGATAGTAAGTACCTGGCCTTTGTTTCATTTCCAGCAATTATTCGAAGTATTTTTAATTTTTTTTTGCTAATTTTACTGGTCTCATATGCCATCTATAAAACATTTTATACAGATTTTCTTTATATGAGACTGCTTTAGTCAATATTTCTATCCCATAATTTTTGCCAGTCTTCCAAATCTATAGAATATCCAAAGTTTTTTGCCCATGTTATCATTGTTTCTTTTACTTGTTCTTCCATCTTCAAGTTTAGCAGAAATCTATAGAGTTTCATAATCAAGTTTTCATCTGTTTTTAACAATATTTGATCGAATTCTGTCCTTTATAAAATCCCGTTGTCCCGTTGGTAATTTTTTTATTCATTTTATCAAGATCATTTTTCAACTCTTCATGACTTTTTTTTTGTTGAGGTTGCCTTCTTGAGCTGCAATTGCTTGCATAATTGCTTGAGTATCTTTTTGGTGAACATCCATTTTTTCTTGCTGCAGCATTGCTGTATTGATTTCTGATATACTGGACTTGCAGGGGCGGAAGATCCTTTCCCCTCCAAGTTTAGATAGATTTGAAGTACTCATCTTTGTCTTTATTTGTTATATTGTAATCCGCCAGGTAGCCAAATGGCCAGCTTTTATAATCCAATAGGTTCCTATTGCTAGGAGAAGAAATCCATAAAAATAGTTAAAAATAAAAAGGAAAAATAAAAAATAGCAACGGGGCAAAAAGAAGGAAGCAATAAAAAAGGAGGGAAAAATGCTCCCAAAATGAAAAGGGAAAAAGGAAAGGAAAAAAGCAAAAATGTCAAAATTATAATCCACCAAATTCTGTTATGTAAAATTTCTTAATTTTCAATTCTTCTAAAACAGCCTGTTATAGTTCCAAAGCAGATAATGTTTATAATCCAGGGAAATAGATGGCTCCGAATACTATTTGTTTATAGATATAGTCTATCTTGTAAAGCCATATAAACAAAAGAAAGTCTTTCCTCCAGCAAAGTTTCAAGGACTTTCAGATAAAGAATGTCTGGGCATGCAACCAACATTGAGGTGTTGGTCTAGAAACCAAGAGACCTCTAGGCCTCCCTTAGGCATGAAAGCTGGATAACTTTGAGCCAGTCACTTTTTCAGTCCAACTTGCCTCACAAGGCTGTGTGGGGAAAATAGAAGGCTGGAGTATTCAATAAGTTTACTGTCTTGAATTATTGGATAAATAACAACATGCTATTTGTAAATGTAATAATAAATAAAATACTGAATAGTATTTGTTGTAGAAAAATGAGAGCATTTAAGACAATTATACATCTGAACCCTGGAAGGATTGGGAGCTAATTTGGTTGACATGCCTTTCAGAATGATGCAACTAGGTGATTTATTGCTGACTTTTGAGAACCCTGGCTGATCATCTTGATTTCTAGAATGAAGAGTTGCTCTGAGAGGCAGCTTAGTTTAATGGTTAAAGGCACCAGACCAGAAATCGGGAGACCAAATTTTTGTTCTGTCTTAAATACAAAACCAGCTTGGTAACTTTGAGCCAGCCATTCATTCTCAACCCTAGTAAGTACAGAATGGCAGGCAATCTTCCCAAGGAAAATATGACAACTAGTCTGGGTAGTCACCAGGCGTCGACATTAATTAAAAAAATAAAAATAAAAAATAAAATAACTACCATAAGATTCTCTTTCCACTCCCCTGTAGTTGATTATTTTTTATTATGTTTTATTATCAAACATTAAGCACATGTAAAAACCTTTTCTGTGTATTCAGAAAGTTACTGAGGTTGATCCATTTGTTAGATTTAATCTAACACTGTTAGGAATAAGGTAGGAAGGGAGACTTATTTGCACCTGTATTATAGGATGGTATGCATGTACGACATATAAATAAACTGGCCTCTACTTAGATTCCCATCTGATCTGTGAACACCCACTTACTACTGCAAGAGGTCTCTGGGAGGGGAAAATGATTGTTCATGACTTACACTGTGATAATGATGGCAAGAAAGGAGATATTTTTCTTGTTTACACCTCTCTTGCTTGGCATTATGCACTATGGCTTTTCCAAGTGTGGAGGATCTAAATCAGTATATTTGCTTGAACGGTGTCTTCTGCAACCTGATAAAATTGTTTTTCTCAACTAACCTTTGTTTCATTCCCAAATCACTTTTTTTTCCTCATAATAATATATGGGTTGTTGTTGTTGTTGTTGTTAATTGCGAAGTCGTGTCCGACCCATCGCGACCCCATGGACAATGTTCCTCCAGGTCCTCCTGGAGTTGTATGGAGTTGTATGGGTTGTATGAAACCTTTTTAAAGAAGTTTTGCTATCATGTTCTTCATGAGAGAGACAAGCCGTGATGGGAGATACTCTCAAGGGAAATCCTATTGATCTGAGATCACAATGACCTGTTTTAATTCAAGACAAACAACATCTACTGGAGATCAATATAAGTCTGTCCATTTCCAATATTTCAGTGTTAATGTTTTCATGTCCAACAGGAAATGTCAGAAAATCAATGAGGCTTACTTTCCAGGAAGACAATATCAGTCTGAGGTTATCCAGCTGAAGCTGTTTTACTTATTTTAAAAAAAATGTGGGGAAAATGCTAAATTTTGGATGTTTTGCAGTTGAATTTCAGTGATGTGATTAGGAATGCAGTATGAGTTGCCACCCCTTATTCCATGAAATCATATTCTAGAATGAATTAAATTCTAATCTTTAACTCGGCTTTTCATAGACAAGGTTACCTTTACACTTGCCAAGACTTTAGGATGAGAAATAAGGTCATGATTTGTTTGGTCTTCATGTATAGCAGGACATAGAAAATATTGTTTGTCCTTATTTCTTGCACGTGCATACTCAAGCAATAGATCCAATGAGTAGATCGAAAAGAACAAAGCATAAATAATTAAAGCTGTAGCAGGAGAAATGAAATTTCTGGAGGTTTAAATGAAGAGCACCAAGAGTGTATGCCAAAAGTATATAATCCCAGAAAGGCCACCAACATGTGAAGGTTATCTCTGCTCCCCAGATAAAACAAACAGACATCTATATTGGGCAGGAATGATATAAGAAAGTGCTTAAAGCAAAGGATCACTTTAGTGACAATTGCAAAATCATCTTTTCAATGCTAGTTGATGGACTTTTCATATTAGGTGGCACTAAATATCCTAATCAGGAAGAGCTAAGGATCTTTTATAGTGCTAATGGTATTTATGGTGTGGATAGATTAAAGCTGCCTAGACATGTAGTTGCTGATATTGCCTTGCAGGGAAAGAACATCTGAAGATGCTGTTGGAAGTACAATCTGGCCCTGTTCCAAGCAGGGAGAAGGATGCTGTAGAAATGAACTGGAGTCAAGCAGCACTTTTGGGGGGGAAATACCAAATCTGTTTATTTGGTAGTTGGAAACCAAATGATAACAGCATGTTTCTGGGGCAGCTAACAAAACAGTCTGGCAAGCGGACAGGTTTTTATGTGGTTCTAGGGCTTTGTGAGTTAGATGTCTAGGTTCATTGTGAAATGTACTTTAATCTGTGTTTGAAGGTGCCCTTTTAGTATTCTAATTATTGTTGCCTGACTCATTGTGGCTGGGAGGTCATGCCCTGTCCTTGGAATTGGGTGGGAAATGTAGATTTTAGATGTCTTTTGTCTCTGCTTTTTAATCTGATCAATTCCAGCCTTCTGGGGATGAAAGTGTTGTTTATGAATGGAATAGTTTATCTTGGTGAATGGAAACTATCCATTCAAGGGGCCGGCCATTTGAGTGATTTTACTTCAAGGAAGCCTTTTCTCTTCCAGAGGTGTTGGGGGCATTTCTTTTTAATATGGGGTCTTTCTTATATTAAAAAGGAGGGAATTCTCCTTGCAAAGGGAGAACTAGAAAAAGAATATGGAAAGTCCATTAAAAAAACCCCATGCAATAACAAAGTTTGTAAGAGCAGGCAAGATAATGGAAAATGTCAATGAAGATGATGGGAAGAAAATGTCCCCCCCCCACGTCCCCGTAAATGCTAAAGAAAAGAACCTGACTGTTAAAGGGGAAACAGATAGAAATGGTGAATGATACTCGAAGTACACAATAATTAATTTGCAGCTAATTTTATTATGCACAGTTGCAAGTAAGGAGTAATAGTTGTTGCTAACTATATATATTTGCCCCTGATCAGCCCTGCCCACACAATCATCTTGCCACTTACAGCACAATTTGCTTAGAACAATAATATG